AATGTATAATGCAGAGAAGTTTAGATTGCCTCTGTGAAACTTAATGTTGAGCAAGAGGACAGGCAAAGAATGTATAATGCAGTGATGTGTAGATTGCCTCTGTGAGTCTTCTAAACTCCCAAAAAAATAGATCGTCGTGACAAAGTTTTCAGCTGATCCTCTTAAAAAAAATCAAGTGGGGCCATGGCCAGAGCTGCTGAACTTCTTATGAAATCCAAAGTCTCCATTCTCGTAGCCACTGAGATTTTATATAATGGTTGGGGAGGGGACCAATGTGCTTGTTTAATACATTTTATGTTCTTCTAAAATACAAAATTACCTAGATTTTTTTGTGCATGCTAAGAAAAGTTGTATGGGTATTGTTTTTTTGATACAAGCGATAATGAGAAAATTAAATTGAACTTGAACTTTCGGGTGTAAGTATGAATTAGTGAAAGTGAATGCGAATAGAATAATTGAACTCGAAATTTCGAATATAGATAGGGATTAGTAAAGGGATTTTATGGAGATGTTGGTGAAGTTGTTATGACATTAAATGATATAAGGCCCCATTGTGGTGAGTGAGATAGTGGAGGGGACCAAGGTATTTAGTGAAGGATGGTGCAAATGGAACATGTTTTAATACTTGGTGAATATAAACCAAAGACTTTAGATATATTTTCAATATTTGGTATAAATATTGGTGTGAGGTCGGTCCATGTGATATATTTCTTGGATTCTCATATAAATGAAATGAAATAAAAGAGGAAGGCAGGACCACACAATGTGGTGCCTGCAGGCATCCGATTATACATTGTGTGTATTATGACATAAATATATAGGGAACTTTAACGAAAAGCTTCTGATACTATTCACTTTAACGAAAAACCACATTTTAACACTAAAAAGTCAATCCTGGTACTATTCACTTTACCTTTTATTTTGTCCTTATCGTTAAAACTCAAAGTTTTCAAGTCATTTTCATTAGTTTTCTTAAATATTATATATATATAGGTATATTTGTTGATTTGTCCCCTAAACTTGTATTGAGCTGTCAATTTTGCCCCTGAATTTTAATTTTAGCCGATTACCTCTTTTAATTTTTATAATTAGCCAACTTCCTCCTTGAACTTTAATTGTAGCCGATTACCCCCCTGAACTTTTATAAATAGCCAATTTCCATATATATATATATATAGGTATATTTGTTGATTTGTCCCCTAAACTTGTATTGAGCTGTCAATTTTGCCCCTGAATTTTAATTTTAGCCGATTATCCCTTTTAATTTTTATAATTAGCCAACTTCCTTCTTGAACTTTACTTGTAGCCGATTACCCCCCTTAACTTTTATAAATGGCCAATTTCCTCCCATGCATTAGATTTTAAAATTTTACATCTAATTTTCCATCAATCTTGATCACAGAAACGACACATGACAACTATACGAGGGCAAAAAGGATGAAAAATTGGATGAAAGTTTATAAAATCTAATGCCAAGGGTGAATTAGCTATTTATAAAGTTCAGAGGGTAATTGGCTAAAATTAAAGCTCAATGGGAAAATTGGCTAATTTGAAAAGTTCAGGGGGTAATTGGCAAAAATTAAAGTTCAGAGAGGAAATTGGCAGCTGCATACAAGTTTAGGAGACAAATAAACAAATACCTATATATATATATATATATATATATATATATATATATATCATGATGTAGATTACATGGATATATAGCAAAAATAAAGAAGAACCAGGAAACAAACAGTGGTGGATCTAGGAAATATTATTAGGGGGGTCAGCAAGAATAGCATGTAACACGCAACAAGTTTTGGAAAGTTGAACATGCAAATTGGTATTTCATCGAACTTAGGTAGTCTTGAGGTCATTTGCCAAGTTATATTACACATATGTCGACAGATGCAAACAGCTTTCGAGCGAACATATCAATTGATGTTAATAGCTTTTGAGCAAGCATGGTGACAGATACCAACATATACTGAGTGTGCATATCGACAGATGCTCATAGCAACACATACAAATGCATGAGGGTAGCAGCTACCATACCCAGTGCCCATAGAGGCAATTCGTCGAACAATTGGAAAACAATTTTCAAGGGCCTCTAAAAAATTTAAAGGACTGCATCCAACTCTTCTATGGAATATTTTTGAACTCGGGCGGGGGTCAGCTGACCCACCTTGCACCAAGGTGGATCGGCCTAAGCAAGTTTTGAAGGCAGAGAGAGGTGAGGTTTTAAGCAGTTGAAAGGCAACATGAAGTCCATGTTCATATGATCTTTTTGTTCGGTGATCTAATTCGTAGCATATATTGTATGTGGGGTGCACATTAATCTGGTTCTTGTTTCAACCACCAGCCCCTTGAAAAAATTTATGGAAATAGAAGGGGGAATTCTTAACTCCTAAATTTTGAGGTGCGACCAACAATACAAATACAAAGATGATATCTTCTTTTCGGATATGTTTTCATCCAATAATTCTACCATAACATTAACATACAAGAAGAAGATGACGAGGAAATCCATAGATTACAAACGGCGTGTCCCCATGGCCTTTCGCCTATGAAAACAAGAAGAGATCATTTATAGATCTCTTCTACCAAGGCCACCAGATCAAGTGATTCGGATCTTTAAAATTTTATCAAACAGCAAAAAATTATTATAGCTTTTAAGAGGTCAAAACAGGTGGACCATTGGATAAAATTTCAAATGTCCAGATTACTTGATCAGATGACCTTGGTGGAAGAGATTCGGAGAAGATATCTTTATTATGAAAACGTCATTTCTTTATTTCTCAACGAATCTTTGACTGCTGCTTTAAGAACTCAAATGCAAATCATTTTCAAACCTAAATAATTAGACCAACTTAAAATCAATCAGATGACACCAAAGTGAAAGTGCTTGATTACAATTTAAGTAATTAAATAATTAAATTACTTTGTTATCTTCCAAAGCAAATGATTAGGGGAGGCACATAATACACAAAAGTTAAAGAAAGCAGGAGCAAAATTGTCGTTACATGGTTAACATATATAGGGCCCAGTATATAATCTTTGATTAAAGCAGTTTATCAAGTGTGCAGCTGACTTTGCTCAAAGCCTTCCTAGCTTTTTAATTTAGTTTTATTTATTTTTCTTTTAAAAAGGAGGACAATTGAGCCTAGAGAAGACTAGTTGATAATTGCACCACGATTATCATCTCAGCCCAGAGAAGGTTGGTTTGAAATTACACAGCCTATCCGTTGTCACGATCAAGCAGATTCACACTTAACAACGTATCGAATTCAAGACCTCCCGTTATTTTTTTTAGGAAGCTTTTGTTCGCACATTTCCAGATGACCAATTTTTGTGATTTATTTGTTTTCTATTTAATTTTTTTTATTACATATGATAGTATCTACACGAATAGTGGGAGAGTGGGTTAAGCCTCACATTGAACTAATCATAATAATTTGGTTCGAATTCACCTTTGACGAGAATCGAATCTAAAACTTCTCACTTATAAGTGAAAAAAAAAATCATTAAATCATAATACTAAGTGAAAAAAACGGCTAATTTAACTTTTTATTTTTATTTATTTTGCATTGGGTGGGGGGGGGGGGGAGAAAAGGGTGGAGAGCATCATTTTTATCTATTGGAAAAGCTCCTTTTATGTCTAGTTCCGGAGGGACAACAACATCGTCATGTGTTCCAAGCATTCATATTTTTTTTGGTTTAGGGAGTGATGCAATCTCTAATCTATACACAAACTAGTTCCTCAAAATTTGTTGAAGTAATGATTACTCAATTGCATGCCAAAGTGAATCTTTGCGACGGCTAACTTGCACTCCCTTTTTTTTTTTTTAAGTTATTAGGGGTGGCTACAGATTAAATGTTACTGATTGGATGTTAAGTTTGATACTAAACATTTTGTTTTAGATAACAAGAATTGTTCTGGAAGTTATTTTCTCGTCCATTGTACGGTCTTGTGATTTGCACGACGTCGTATATGTGCAAGTATCCACACGTTTGGTATGATTCTTAATAGGAGTTTTCTTGATATTAAGTTTACCTCATCAACATATGAATTATGGAGTGAAAAAAGTTTTTCTTTTGGACACCCAAACACCCTTGAATTTTATTTGGACACCCAAAACCAAGATTTTTGTTTTTAAGTTTTAGTTCGGCTATGTCACTTAATACTACGGTTTAATGATATTTCTCTTCACTTATAAGTCAGAGGTTTTAGGTTCCATTCTCACCAAAGGCGAATTTAAACCACATTATTACCTGTCTATTGTGAAGCTTAGCATACTCTCCCACCTCATTAATGTAAATAATATCATTTATTAAAACGAATAAAGTTCTAGTTTTGTTTTGCCCTAATTACTAGTAAAAACAAAATGAAAAAAAAACGAAATGTATGGGTTAACACACCAGGCCCAGCCCAATCTTTATTCCATCGGAAAGTCACATTTATATTGGTGCATTATCCAATACCTTGCGTTGAAAAATTTCTCCCATGAATATTTTTTATGAGTGATCAATTGAGATTTAACTCAATAAAATTTAAGTTAAAGTAGCCATTCTTAAATTAAATTTAAGTTAAGTCGAGACTAATTCACCCCTTATACATGCAAATTTCTTTAATTTCCCGACATGGGTTTCACACTCACAACAACTTGTGAATGTATGTATGTGTTGTGTTAAGTAGGTCAAATCTAAAAAACAATGTCTACAATCGCATGATTCTTCAACTGTAGCCACTGAGTTACGTAGGTCAATATAAAACACCTGGACAACAGCGCACAATATATGTATTTTCAAAAGGAAAACTAATGAAAAAGGTTTGAAAACTTTGAGTTTTAATGATAAAGACAAAATAAAGGATAAAGTGAATAGTACCAGAATTGACTTTTTAGTGTAAAAATATAGTTTTTCGTTAAAATGAACAGTACCGGAGCTTTTCGTTAAAATTTCCATTTTCAAACCAGATTAACAACGTCATTTGAATCTAATCAATCAACAGAGTAACGTCCAATTCTTACATTACTTGGTGGTTAATCAGGTCAGTCAGCACTTAGCAGGCGGTGAATCAAATGAATTCATCGCCAGCAGCTCGGCGAGGCCGCCGATGATCATGAACGGGCATGAGTGCATATTTTTTTTTTCCAATCATTGCTACCAAATCATGCTCAGGTTACACACCTCATCCCTACTCGTTTTCCATTTCCCATTTTTCCTAAACCCCTGTTTGTTTCCTGAGAAAACGCTGGAAAATTTGATGGAAAATTGAATTTCATTGTTCCCACCTAAATATTGCTCAATGTGGAGAACTTTACTCGGTAATGCAAACCCAGATTTTATTTTGATCTGTTTAGTGTTAAAGAGAACAACTTTGTGATTTCCTTATGTTCGGGACCGGATCGATTTCGAAGTTAATTTCCATTAAATTTGTATGCATTAGCGATTATTAGTTTGGTAAATTGATTAGTTGCTTAATTGTGATTAGGGATTTCGCTTAAGACTCAGGAGCTCTATGCTATGCTCTAGTCTTTCTGGCTCGGTACCTGGACCTGTTTACGGACTTTATTTCGGTGTATAACACTGTGATGAAGCTTGTGTTTATTGGAAGCTCGCTTGCCATTGTTTGGTGTATGCGGATGCACAAAATGGTGAAGCGTTCTTACGATCAAGAGCTCGATACATTCCGCCATTATTTTCTTATAGCAGGCTGCTTTTTGCCTGCCCTGCTTGTCAATGAGAAGTTCAAGTTTCAAGAGGAGAGACAAATTTTTCGACATTCTCGTCTTGTTGGATGCATCTAGTCTCGTTTGAAATTGGTTTGCCTGGACCAGGGTATGATTGTAATGGTGAATTGGAACTACTTTCAGGTCCTCTGGGCATTTTCTATATACTCGGAGGCGGTTTCTATTATTCCGCAGTTAGTTTTGCTACAACGAAGTGGAAATGTGGACAATTTGACAGGATGTGTTCCTTCTTGGGTAAGTATATTTCTTTCCTCTGTACCGTCCCTAACTTGCCATACACTCGGTAATATCTTGTGGTTAGGTTTCAATATTTGATTGCTGTTGATGATGTGAAGTTTAATTGATTTTGTTACTCAATAGGTTTCCTTTAAGTCGTATGCTATTTCATTTATTGGATGCTGACCTCAACTTTAGGGGAAGGTTGTAATCGGGACAACGTATAGGAATGAAGTACGTGACTTGTTTGCTAGTGAAGCAAATTGTCTTTACGGACTCTGGCAAAGAGAGCCTTACCATGTGTCTTCCTTCTTTTCGGAAAGTTATGAAGTTGGCCCTTCTTAGGAAAGATAGAAGGAGAAGAGGCAATCGGACTGGTGAAGAAGTTTCTAACTGGTTAGTAGTGGTAGCTTGTTCGTTTTACGTACAAGATGAATTTGCTCATTGATGTCTCAGAATCCAACTTCTATGGTCGGGACTTGGGCATGTGGGAATACTATATAGAAGTTAAATTCTGAGACATCGATGCAAATACATATATTGCTTCACACCACAACATTTCCTTTACACATACGCGGTGTTAATAGTGGTCCCCAAGTTAGTGTGTGGTTACTAAAGAGGAAGTGTGATTTTGATTCTTGCTTCCTTGATTGAATGCTGAATGTATTGAAAATTTGAAATCAGGTAAACAAACAGATACAGCAGCTTAGACCAGATTAGATTGATAGATGGTATACTTGTACGCATTTATGTTCCAAGTTCATCTTATATGGTGACATCTTTTCAGAAAAAAATCTGGGGATACAAGTTAAGTTTCTTATTGCAGGGCCTATCGTGCATTGTACATTCTCAACTGGATCTACCGCTACTTCACAGAACCACATTTCAGTCGATGGATAGGTAAGCTATGTGAGAACCGTCGATGTACATTCTCAACTGTATGGTATTTTTTGTAGCTTGCATCGCCGGTCTGGTTCAGACAGCTTTATATGCAGATTTTTTCTACTACTACTCTCTCAGGTAGCTAATATGACACCTTGCTAATGATCCTTGTTCACTCTCTTAGATGGTTAACATGAAAAGCTGTTTGTTTTTCAGCTGGAAAAACAACGCAAAGCTTCAGCTGCCAGCGTAAGCCAAGGAAGTGTGTTTTTGTTCTTATAGGCACTTGCAGGTCAGATTAACACTCCCGTTAAGGTCAGATTAATACTCCCGTTAATTTCGAGTTGATAATATCGAAATCTCATATGGTCACCTTGTAAAGATGTTGGATGTTGGAAGGATTAATGGAACCCCAGGCATACGGTATAACTCCTATTTTTCCTTTCTTTTTGGTGGATGTGTATTCCACGTCTACAGAATGTTTTTGTAATGTTGCGTGAGAACAACTTACATGGCAAGTGATGCCATCGTAGCAGTGTACTCATGCCGTGTAAGTCTATCTCATATTATGCATCATAGGCACCTTTAGTAGTAGGTTGATATTAGATAACCATCACTATCTGAAATCAACATATGGTGCCTTTATTTCTCTTGCGACCAAAACAAACGTATTTTTATATCTCCAAACAATTAATCTCTTAAATTCCCTTTCATAATCAAAAACCCTATAACCCTCGACGCGGTTGCATCGACTGTTAAAGAGTATCAAAGAGTACCGCTTCCCATCGCCGTGGTTGGGAAAGTCCGTACAAGAAAAGTCATGTGTCGGGACTCCGGGCGCCTGTGTAAGGAGATTTTCTTCAGTCTGGACACCCATATAAGGTTGCCAAACTGGAACAGAAGCGGGTGAGACCAAAATATATAGAGATAAGAAATTTTTGTGTGCGGTGGGACATTTATGTGGACTGTCCGGATTGGGCACCAAGAGTGTCCGACCCAAGAGTTTCTCCATGATTGGGCCAATTAGAGATTAAACAAGGCCCAGTTAGAAAGAAAAATCAGCAAAAGAGAAAAAGAGTGTACTATCCACGCATTCTATTTTACTTCTCACATATATTTTGATAATTTCTGTTCGTTGATCTTCTTCAATTCATCCAATCCAACAGCCAAAAAATTAAAAAAAAATGTGTGAGAAATAATATAGGATGTTTGGATATCACATCCTAAAAAAAATATCAAATGTCAGAAGAGTTGAAACGAAGCGGATCAAACAAGCACGTCACGCAGCTCACATGCGGAACAAGAAAAATCAACAAACACGTCACACATGGCGTCGCACGATTGACTCATTCTTCGTCGTCACTGGTCATTGAAGTTTGTGCCGGGACGCTGACTGTGCGTGCGCCACGTCAAATACGATAACGCGGCGGCTAAGTCACAATTGTGTGTTAGATTTTTCAGGGCGTCGCCTTCCCCTTCCCTCCTTCTACTTGTCCATTTGCCTCTCTCTCTCTCTCTCTCTCTAGCTCTGCGTTTGGAGCTCTCTCAGGTAAACGCCTTTCTCCTTTTTTTACATGATTAATTTGGATTATCGTTCTGGAATTTTGATGATCTCTTGAGGTTTTTCCAAGCGATTTTTAGTAGAAAACAATTGGATAGTTGAGATTTCTGAACTGATTTGCTTAAGTTGATGCGATTAGATTGTAGATTATGTGATTTATACAGCATGCAACAAGAAATCAACGCTTGAAACTGTGAAATCTGAACCTATATGTGTTAATTACCGATTATTACTTTGCTTAACGACGATTGATTATTACTTTGCTTTAACGAAATGGTTACCAAACGGCCCCGTAGTTTTCGTTTCTAAAATCCGAAGCTAAATTATATTATGTGTACGTTGCATTTCAGTTAATTCTTAGCTGATCTGCCTTTATTATGCTATAACTTGTGGAGTTAGCAATTGATTGCTGGTAGCAGTTTATTTTGTATAAATGGCGGGGAATTCCTTTTTCGGACTGCTAATTTGTTCTTGATTTTAGTTATCCAGTGCTTAATCAATGTTATGGTTCTAAACATTTTCGGTTTAATTTGTAGTGCTTAAAATGGGAGGAGGTTTTCGAGTTTTGCATTTGGTGAGGCCGTTTCTTTCTTTTCTACCGGAAGTTCAAAGCGCTGACAGAAGGATCCCCTTCAGAGAGAAGATTATATACACCGTGATTTCCCTGTTCATCTTTCTGGTGTGCAGCCAGCTTCCCCTTTATGGCATTCACTCTACCACTGGCGCTGATCCATTTTATTGGATGCGCGTTATTCTTGCATCAAGCCGGGGGACTGTGATGGAGCTCGGAATAACCCCCATTGTGACATCCGGGATGGTCGTGCAGCTCTTGGCCGGTTCAAAGATCATTGAAGTCGACAACAATGTCCGTGAGGATCGTGCTCTATTGTGAGGATTTTTACTCTAATTGTTTGCTTTAAACAGTTTTCCTTGCTTCGATTATTGAATGATATGAAGAACTTTGCTTTTGGAGTTGCATATTTTGGTACTTTTCAACTTCTGCTTGTTCCTTCCTTGCCCTGCTACGCTAATTGCATGTTATTAAGAAATTTACTTCAGAAGTTGCTCTTTTTGTTAGTTTTCAAACTATGCTCAGTTCTCCTTTGGTCCTTCCTACTTCCTGGTATAATCTTGGTTTAATTGGTTTCAACAGTAAATTAGTGGTTTATGTAAAAATGTTCAGCTTGTTCCTTCCTTACCTTGCTAGTCGTTGAGACAATGATCCTTCAGTTATGAGTCTTATGACTTAATTGGGTGGCTTTGCTAGTATTCTAATCTCTTGAATTTTATCGGCTTCTAATTTGCAGAAATGGGGCACAAAAGTTGTTGGCCATCCTCATTGCTGTTGGTCAGGCTGTTGCTTATGTGGTTTCAGGAATGTATGGTAGTGTCGCTCAACTTGGTGTCGGGAATGCGATTCTTATCATTGTTCAGCTCTGCTTTGCTGCAATTATTGTCATTTGCCTAGATGAACTTCTTCAGAAGGGATATGGTTTGGGATCCGGGATTTCCCTTTTTATAGCTACCAACATCTGGTACGCTAGAAACCTGTATTTCTTTTACCTTTTAGTATTATATATATAATCTATGGTCTTGCCATACTTGACTTTTGGTTTGATTATGCAGTGAAAGCATCATCTGGAAGTCCTTTAGCCCTACAACTATCAATAGCGGACGGGGAGCTGAATTTGAAGGTGCCATCATTGCACTGTTCCATCTCTTGATCACCAGGAACGACAAAGTTCGTGCTCTTCGTGAAGCTTTCTACAGGCAAAACCTGCCAAATGTTACTAATCTGCTTGCTACAGTCTTGATCTTTCTCATTGTCGTCTACTTCCAAGGTTTTCGTGTTGTTTTACCGGTGAGATCAAAGAATGCCCGTGGACAGCAGGGATCATATCCTATTAAGCTTTTCTACACCTCTAACATGCCCATCATTCTCCAGTCTGCTCTTGTCTCCAATCTTTATTTCATCTCTCAAGTAAGTTACTAGGCAGTAAAAACTAAGGGCTCTTTACTGCAGTTGTTAATTAATTCACATGAAACTTGTTTTCTTCGTACAGTTGCTTTACAGGAAGTTCAGTGGGAATTTCTTCGTGAATATTCTTGGAAAGTGGCAGGATTCTGAATATTCTGGCCAATCTATTCCAGTTGGTGGTCTTGCCTACTATATCACGGCTCCAGGAAGGTGATCCAGCACATTTTATTGTTTAACCTTTGAAGTCTCCTGCCATTTTTATCATGTTTCGTGTGCGAAAGCATGTATTAATAGCGTTGGTTCTTTTTCTTTGTCAATGTGGTTTTAATTGCAGCTTGGCGGATATGGCTGCCAATCCATTCCATGCTCTGTTCTATCTAGTGTTCATGCTTTCAGCCTGTGCACTCTTCTCAAAAACTTGGATTGAAGTTTCTGGTTCTTCTGCCCGAGATGTAGCGAAGCAGCTCAAGGTATTATTTGCCTTCCTCATTCTAGTTCTATGATTTTTCTTTTGATATAAACCTTTGGATTCCTCAAATTGATGTCACAAAAACAAAGACATTTTGGAGATCTCGTAGCATGATTGTTAATGTGAAGACATGAGATTTCTAGGATTAGATTTATGATTCTCAAACAACTTAACGTCACGAACTAATACATTTATGGTTGATGATTGACATTTATGTTGCTTAATTCTGCAGGAACAACAAATGGTGATGCCTGGACATAGAGATTCAAACTTACAGAAGGAACTAAACCGCTACATACCTACTGCGGCTGCATTTGGAGGTTTGTGCATTGGTGCCTTGACTGTTCTGGCAGATTTCATGGGAGCAATTGGCTCAGGGACTGGGATTTTGCTTGCTGTCACAATCATCTATCAGTACTTTGAGACATTTGAGAAAGAGAGGGAAAGCCAACTTGGCTTTTTCGGCCTTTAAGCCCTAATGAAAGGTAAGATAGTTGAGAGCTGTAAGTACGTCCGACCTTGGATAACACTAGGGATACAATTGAGGTCGAATTTGTAGTTTGGTTACGGTTTTTTCCTTGTTACATTGTCTTTTATGCAATAGTTTGTTTTTGACACGATAATATTCGAAATTACTCTTAATCCACGGGAAGAGGGATTCTCGAACCCGGATGGAATGGAGCGGTACACTGCCATGACCAACGGACTATGAACTAGTGTGACATATTTGGTGAGTTGTACGGAAAAGTATTGGTTCACACCCAACCCAGTCTCTAATATTGGGCCTACCCTGCCCATGACCTTGGGTCAGTCCAATAAAGGGCAAAAAACCGGATGGGGTTGGGTTGGAAGTCCAATATACCAGTATTTTCTTTTTTATACACAAAACAATATTGAAAGCATTTTGAAGCAATTGAACTGCAAGCCACTCGCATCGTATATGCCCATTATCACACTATTTTACGTTTTTTGTGTTTTCACTGTATTTCCTCTTCTCCTTTAAGCTACTCAAGTCAAGAGTATACGTACGATTTACTTTGTAATTATTTGGTGATTAGTGAGTGTGTCTGGTTTGTGTTAGTGTTTTTATGAAGTGAGCAGTCATGGTGCTTCCTGGTAATTGGACAGACTTCAAACTTTGGAAGGATGGATTCTATTCGTTGCAACTTTTGGCCTTATTTTTTGTACATTTGGCTGCAAAAATTGAGCCCCAATTTGCACTAGATTAGGTATGAGTCGTATGATTGGATTTTTTGGTAGCAAAGCAAAAGCAAAGACGCTTGCTCAACACTCATGTCCCTCTCAAAGTTATGCTAAGCTTAATAGGGGTGTTTTCTTTGTTAAGCTTAAAAAAAAAAAACCTAGGTAATCATGCTTTTTAGGATGGAATTCAAGGTTTTAATAAGTTCAAGTTGTCATGC